AGATAGCCTTCTGCTCACGTAATGAGAGCCAGCGTGCCTGGCCCGGCCAGCTCTTGCCTCTCTGCCTCACTCTTTCCTGTCCCTGCTGGTGGACCTGTGGATCCTGGGGGTAAGACCTGTGTCTTTCTCCAGGTTGTCTTCCCAGCACGTGGCATGAAGCTTGGCACGTAGCTGACGCTCAAGGAATGTTTATCGAGGGAATCGACGAATAATAATGACTAGACCTGCAGCAAAATTGGTAGACCACAAACCCGCTGCTGTTATCCTATCTGGGCCGCACCCTACAGCCATTAGTGGGAAACTAACCAGGCCTTAGGAGGAGAAGCCTGGCATCACTGCGTGTACCTCGCACATGAATCCAAATGCATATTCATACGAGCCCACATGCATGATTAACTTGGGAAGCTGACAGGAAGCAGTCAATCTGTTGAGCAAGTTTGTGTTTTATAAACCAGATGTTCGGTATTATTATTCATCATTTCCTTTGATACCAGAATGGTCTCCATTATGTAGCATAGGAAATGAAGGATATGGAATAATATACACTTTTTATACAGCTGAATACCACAACCAAGCATTTCAGAGGCCTGTTCAAAGCCTGGGCAAGTGTAATTGAATGGCAGTTCATTTTGGGATTCACACTTGGACTTAAGTTAATGGGATTTTGCCCAGATGGACCACTGTGACCCCCTTCTCCCATTCCTAACCTTGGAAAATGAATGTTGACTTTATGTCTGCATTTTTCTTGGAAGATATGTCTATGAATCACAAGCAGTGCTCTTGCCTCAGTGGCCATTACAGGTTAGGGAGCCACAGAAAAGCAGGGATCCCCTAGTGTGGTGTGGGGACAGAGAGTGCCTAGCTGTGGTCGGCTGCCTACCTCTTGATTGGTGGTCTTAAGAAAAAAACCTTTTGCCACAAGCTGATTTTTCTTATGGCAGAAGTACAGAATGCCTTTCAATCAAAAGGTGCTTACTGTGCAAATTAACTTTCAGTTTGATGTTCCTTCTCCATGAAATGTTTAAGGTTCACAGAACCCAGACTCACTCGAGACTGGGAAAGATGGAGCTGATGGGTGCAGAAGAGCCTCTTCATGTTGTGCGAGCGTTATTTCCGGAGTGCTGCCAGCCCTCATGGCCATACTGATGAGTTGGTATATCATCGGAAGAGCTACAGGTTAGGGTTCTGGCCAAACCAGTGCAAATCTGAGCCAGAAGTGTCCCTGAAAGAAGAACATGTGAGCTCATAGCAGTGGCTAGACTGAGTCCACTGCATTTCATTTGCTTACCTGTGGCTGCTTAAAAATGAAAGGTTTCTGTACAAATGCAATATTATGTTTTATTTTTTAGTTTAAGTAATGGTACAGTAATTATATTTGGAATTAGGCCCTGAATGAAGCCAATACTATATCCTGGCTTAATATTTAGAAGTTCATTTACCATGATCTTGTATTTGGGCCAGGACAATTACCAGTGACTTAAAACTGATTTTTACTGTTTGCAGGAAGAAGTTTCATTTCTCATTATTGTCAGTGGTTATGTTTTTATTTCATCCGTGATACATATTGGCATTGCTTGAAATTTTGATTTGAGCTCCAGAGTGGAAGTTGTCCAGGGTTATGGATCAGCTCAAATCAGTTTTCTTTGTAGCATTAAGGTTTAATCAAGGAGTCAGAATGTGGGAAGATTTCTGATTCTGGGGGAATTATTTATCATGGCTTGGTTCTGCCTTTGAAAATGGCATCGCATGCCCCCATTGTTGGCCATAGTATACTTTAAGTATATTTAGCAAGGTGTTAGAACCATGGTTCCAGAAACTGTTATATACTGGTTGGCTTGGTTCCTGGCAACAGTAATTGTCAGCATTATTTCATAGTTAATATTATTTGGTTATTAATATTATATATAGTTTATTTATACTAGCACCAAAATTAGGCTGCCCCAAATAATAGATTACATGATTAAATGTATATTACTCCCAATTCTCCAGAGAAGGAGAACCATAAGAGATGCGTGTGTATGTTTTTTCCTTAAATGTAAGATAAGTGTACACATACAAGGAGGGAAGGAGAGAGAGATTTTAAGCAATTGCCACTTAGATACGTGTTGGGGACTGACACATCTGAACACTGTAGGGCAGGTTGGCAGGCTGGAAATTCCAGCAGAATGGGGTTTTACAGTTTTGGGTCTGAAGACAGTCTGGAAGAAGAATTCCTTCTTCCTTGGGAAAACTTTTTTTGTCTTAAGACCTTGACTGATTGGCTAAAACACACACAGATTATGGAGAGTAAGTAATCTGCTTTATCAAAGTCTACTGATTTTTTATTGAAATATAGTTGACCTATAATATGATCTTAGTTTCAGATGTGATTTGACATTTGCAAACATTATGAAATGATCATCACTATGTCTAGTAACCATCTGTCCCTGTACAAAATTATTATATTACTGACCACATTCCTTATGTTGTGTATTATATCCCCATGGCTTATTTGTTTTATCACTGGAGGTTCGTATCTCTTAAGCCTCTTCAACTGTTTTATGCTTTACCAATTTCACCCACGCTCCACAACCTCCCCTCTGGCAGTCATCTGTTTGTTCATCTGTGAGTTTGTTTTGATTTTATCTTGTTTATTTTGTTTTTTAGATTCCAAGTATAAGTAAGATGTCTGACTTAGGTTTCTTTTAAACTCCTGCCTCTGTGCTGGGAATTGAAAAGTGTGAGATTTTGCAAGTGCTCTTTAAGAGCAGAGTCTCCATGTCCTACAACTGTATGCCTCCTCTAAAGATAAGTCCTGCTGATTTTGTAAGCCACGTGTTCAAGGGTCTTGACTTCCCAGTGTAGGACCCCTGGGCTGAGGAGCCTGGAGCTCAGATCGCTTGCTCCTTGGGTAGTGCCTCTATAATTATGGTGTTCCTCCTGTTTGTAAATGCTGATTTGGAGGTAAGGGTCTTGACTTTACCACATCTCTGCACCTCCTATCCATCACATTGTGGTTCCTTCTTTATGTCTTCAGTTGTGGAAAACCTTTTCTGCTAGTCTTCAGGTTGTTCTCATAGATAGTTGCCCTGTAGGTAGTTGTAATTTTGGTGTGTCCTTGAGAGGAGGTGATTTCAGGGTCTTCCTACTCCATCATTTTGGCCATCTCTAAAGTCAACTAGTTTAAAGTGTTAATTAGGTTTGAAAAATACAGTTACAGCATCTAGGCTGTTGTTTGAGCTAACAACCATTGCCTAATCAGGTTGCCACATAAAATTTACTGTCACATCATGAATTCCCAATCCTTGAGGGATCAATGAGATTTTTGCATTGTTTTGCTTGTCACGAAGGAATAGGCCCATCTTGACATAGAGGTAAAACTGATGAAAACATGGTTTTCTCAGTCCCTGTTAAAGGTTTTCCCAACTCATATAAGTTTCTCTTCAATTATCATCATTATTGATGGTGGAAAGGATTGCCTTTTAACAGTACTTCTTGAATTTTAATAGGCATACTAATTATTAAAATAAAGATTCATATTCAGAGAATCTGGAGAAGGTTTGGGATTATGCATTTTTAGGGCTGAAGGTGCTGAAAGTGCTGCCGTTCTGCATTACATTACAAGAAATGCTGTCCTAATGCTCATATAACCTATTGGAAGAAGAAGACTGGTAAAATATTGACCAAGTTTAATGACCTGTTCTCAGGAGGCCTGCAGTCCATGGGGACTTCAGTCCATAGGATCCTCTAGATTTCAGGTCTTCTGTTTAGAATAGTCTTTTCAAAGAAGACTGAGAGAATGACACCTTCTTTTCTGTGAAATTAAAAGTGACACAAAAGTGCCCAAACATCAGAAAACACTCTAGCCTAAAGATAGTGGATTCTTATTCACAGATTGCTTTATTTGAAGCTTGAATGGGCTGTGAAACCTCTCCTACTGATTGGCCAGTTTTAGCCAATTTTGGTCACTGTCATCGGTGCCACATGCCTTAATCTTACTGGAGACTCTGCCACTTGCTAGCCATGTGATCTTGAAGGCAGAGAAAGGAAACTAGCATCCTTTGAGCACTTGCAGATGCCAAGTACTTTGATGGGCAGTTTCACATTTTATCTTCATGGCAACAATGCTGAGGAGTAGTTGGTGTTATTTTACATGAGGACCTGAAGGGTTAGATAAAGATTCAAAGCTGAGAACTAGAACCAGGTTTGTCTTGGACCAAAGCCTGCTGTTATCCAAGACTCAGTTTCCCCATTTGCTCACAGAGCAGAGTAGGGGTTCGTGCCTTTCTCCTGACACCGTTGTGAAAGACAGATATGATGGTGGGTCTCAGTGCACTTGTGTGCAATTCAGTGAGTTACAGAAGTATGCTGTGGGCCAAATTCAAGGGTTGTTCTTCCAGGAGGAATGCTCAGCTTCTTACCAGTGATTCGAAGATGAAATGATCAAGTTATTTTTTCATTTTGTTTGTTTTCCATCTGGGACTGGCATGCAGATATATGTAGAGATTCAGAAGGGCCGTGATTCAGCTACCTTGGGGAGAATAAATGCTTCCAGATTCCATTGTTTGCAGCAGGGGCAACTCATAAAACCCCTTATGCTCATGCTTTCTGATCCTCAATTTCCACATTAGGGAGAAGCATTAATATTGCACATACTGAACATAAAGTCTGTAAAGTAAAACAATAAAATCAATCTGTAGTAATAAAATAAAATGAATCACTAGGATCCAAACAGGGCTTTATTTGAACCCAAATGTCTGAATGCAGTAAACAGGTCAGCTGGAGTGACTGCTAGTAGCTGACATTGTTTCCCCTGCCCGTGGGGAGGGGCTCGGATCCTCATCAGTACATCCAGGTCGAGGAATATTGCCCTCCCACCTATGCTATAAAGACTTCAGTGGACACTGGTCCATTTCCAACAGCCCCTGGTCAGGAAAGGATGAGATTGTGAAAAGGCATGGCCTCTGGCACTGTTTTTCCCAGACCATTCTCAGGTAACTAGCTTTTCTCTCTCCATTCAGCTTGCCGATGATCAGGGCCCTGTCCTGATGACCACGGTCGCCATGCCTGTGTTTAGTAAGCAGAATGAAACTGTGAGTACAGTGACTGGATTTCCTTCCTGATGCTAAGGGGGTTGTTAGCTCAGACCCTCTCTGACTCAAGCTCTGGTGACCTTTATTTACTTATTTAATTTAAGGATGGAGGATGTATAATTTTTCCTCACTTTTAATCCTGCTGTTAGAATCATGAAATCAGGAGTAGATGAGAGGAATTCAAGCAAGTGTCTTTTTACAGTATGCAGCACTTTTCCAAAATTCAAGTGTTTAAATGACCAGAAGAAGGAAGTCTCCAGAAAGAATTCTTGATTGTGATGGGATGATCTCGCTCTCATTTATAGGTCCCAGCCTTGAATTAGATCCTCAGGGCTGTGACAGGGAAGTGTCACAGATGGGATGGCTTACAATAGAAGTGTATTTTAGCAATTCTAGGGGCCAGGAGTCCAAAATTAAGAAGTCGATTATAGGGGAGACTCCTTCCTTGCCCACTCCAGTCTCTGCCTCTGTTTTCACATGGCCTTCTTCTCTGCTTATCTCTGTGTCCTTTCCTCTTATAAAGACACAAATTGTTGGATACAGGCCCCATCCTGCATCCAGGATAATTTCACTTTGAGATCCTTAATTACGTACATCTACAAAGACCCTATTTCCAAATAGAAACACGGCCTGAGGTTCTGGGGGCAGTTGCGTTGGGGGGAAACAGCAGACAGGATAGTAGCAATGTGTGTCTTGTTCTAGAAGGCCCGTTCTGACATCAGAACGTATAGCACATCACGTTGACCTTGGGACCTGGAACCCTAGAGGCCTATTCCTTTACCTCAGTCCTTGGTTCCAACTGTCTGGAAAAATGTTAGGGTTTTCACATCTTTTTCTGGCTTTTTGTCTCTTTCTCCTGGGCACCAGATGGCAGTATAAATTGAGAACATAGTTAGCATGCTAAGTGTTTCCTATAAAAAGTTTCTGTAAGAGAAACTGATTAATGATTGAAACTCCTTAGCCTCTTCAGATTCTTAATTTTCAGGAGAGAAAAGGAAATGGTTCTTAGGGTGTCTTGGTATGGGTGTGTGTTAAGGGTTATAATAGGCAATGTTTGGCCTGAGAAGCTGCCATTCTGGCCTGGAAATGTTTTGGGAGGGGAATAGAAGTTACCTCTTGCAAATCTGGATTAAGCTTCAATTTCTCTCAGTTTGAAGAAGGCGCCAGACAGTGCCTATGGTGTGTGACTTTTCAGGAGATTATATTTATTCTGCCAAATTAACATTCTGTTGTTTAATGTTTCTTTTCAATAGAGATCGAAAGGCATTCTTCTCGGTGTGGTCGGCACAGATGTCCCAGTGAAAGAACTTCTGAAGACCATCCCCAAATACAAGGTAATGCATTGCTTAATTAAGAGTCAAGAACCAGATGCATGAGATAAACTCACAGCCTGCCATATTGCCAAGAAAAGCTTGAAGGAAACCCACTCTTTCTCGAGGGTTCTGTGTTGTTTTGTTTGGGTAGAATAACAACAGTCCGGGAGGATCTGATTAGGTCTACATGTGCCCACCCAGGTTTGTGTGGGCCTGTGAAAGTCTACACAAGTCTGCAGGACTACACAGGTCTTACATCTCTGATTATCTTCTAAGCCAGTCTTGACTCACCCCAATCTGAGGACCCCCTAAAATCTGTTGCTTCTTTACAGAAACCCAGTGAGGCACAAATAAAGGTGGTCCCTGCTTCTGTTGAGTAAATATTCCTTCTATCCTGAAAGGTAATGGGGTACAAATTAATACTCCTTTCCTAGTGCTACATTAAACCTATGGCACTAAGAGAAGTCTAAGTTTGTTTTGAATTCTGGGGATAGTTGAGAGGGTGGAGTAGGAAAATTTAAATACAGGGTCTACATGCCACCTGAAATCATTTCACTGTATGGTGTTTTTCCTAAGAAAGCAAAATAGATCATGCGAAGATTAGGTAGAGGGCTGAGGAGTGAGATCCATAGGGGGTTGTTTGGACTCAAGGTGTGAACCCCTGCCTTCTGAGGCTCCCCTTAGCTGTGGACGTCAGCACATCATCACTTTCCATAAGCCCATGCCGCACCTTTGCCTGTTGACCCAGGCTTCTCAGAGAACCCATAAGGTCAGGTTCTTCCCAGTGCTTCCTTAGAACCTGATCTACTCCTAGAAGAGGAAACTTCTTTGAATAAGCAAGGCGTGTCTGTTCCCATGTGCTGATTCCATTTAGGTGATCAAATTAGAAAGCTACCTTCATAATAAAAGGAAAGCAACTCTAAGCTAAAATCAGGTGTCCAGGCTACAAAACGTGGCCTCATTAACAAAAGCAAATTTCTGATTGGGTTTACTGAGATGACAAAGGTCTTTCTTTCTGCTATCACTCTGGAGCTCTGACAGCCAGGTTCTTTCACCAAAAGGGCTTTTCCATTTGGAGTTCAGTTTCCAGAGCATAATATGACATCTGGTTGACCCAAACTCACACAAGCACATGTTGAAAACTGTTTAGCTCCCCAGAGGTGGAAAGTCAGGGGGTTAGGGAGCTATTTGAGGCCCCTAAAGATAGTGGACTTTACTCTTATTGAAATCCTTAGACTTAGAGGCCCAGAATTGCTGGCTCATTGTTTAAGAAAGGGCATCCAACCTTTACCACTCTTAAGCCTCTAGCATCATATAAGATGTAGAAGCCCAAATACAGGGCCATTATTTAATATACGCCCAGTAAACCAAGAAAGGGTGAACATATAGGTGTGTGTGTGCCCAGTCACTCAGTTGTGTCTAACTCTGCGGCCCCATGAACTGTAGCCCGCCAGGCTTCTCTGTCCATGGGATTCTCCAGGGAGAAATACTGGAGAGGGTTGCCATTTCCTCCTCCGGGGGATCTTCCTGATCCTGGGATGCCCGTCTCCTGCGTTGGCAGGTGGGTCCTTTACCACTGAGCCAGCTGGGGAGCCCAGAACATAAAGAAAATGGTAACAATTACCCTGTGAATTTGTGTCTCAAAGCTTCTTCTACTAGACAATGTACTAAGATCTTTATAGCATTATCTCACTTAATAATAGTAGACACTGCTATCCTTGGCTAAAGAAGCAAGAGACTCAGAAAATTTAAATATCTTGCCAAGTCTCAAACTAGCAGTCCATGCTTTTAGCTATTAGCAACCTAGACAGCGTATTAAACAGCAGAGACATTACTTTGCCAACAAAGGTTCGTCTAGTCAAGGCTATGGTTTTTCCAGTAGTCATGTATGGATGTGAGTGTTGGACCATAAAGAAAGCTGAGCACTGCAGAATTGATGCTTTTGAACTGTGGTGTTGGAGAAGATTCTTGAGAGTCCCTTGGACTGCAAGGAGATCCAACCAGTCCATCCTCAAGGGGATCAGTCCTGAATATTCATTGGAAGGACTGATGCTGAAACTGGAACTCCAATACTTTGGCCACCTGATGTGAAGAACTGACTCATTGGAAAAGACCCTGATGCTGGGAAAGATTGAAAGTGGGAGAAGGGGATGACAGAGGATGAGATGGTTGGATGGCATTACTGACTCGATGGACATGAGTTTGAGCAAGCTCCGGGAGTTTGTGATGGACAGGGAAGCCTGGCGTGCTGCAGTCCATGGGCTCGCAAAGAGCTGGACACGACTGAGCGACTGAACTGAACTGAAACCTAGAGCCATGAGGAACAATACAGGACAGTGATAGTAACAGTTAAAATATTAAAAAAATATTAGTAGCTAAAAAATACAATAAGACATTCGTTGAACTTTTCACTGTGTATTTAGTATGGTAAAAGTGCTTTATATTCACTGTTGCCGCTGAATCCTCATTACACTCCCATGAAATAAGTACCACTTGTTCCCATTTTTAGATGAAGATATGAGAAATAACTTTCTTATTATTTCTTGTTATAACTCAGCAAGTAAACGATAAAGGAAACAAACTATAATAAGAGGATAGAAAAAGATCAGCTCCAGAAAATTAGCTGCTCTCCCCAAAGGGTCTGGGAACCAGAGACCCAGGCGTGACATACCTTAATCTAAGTTGTCCTTCCTCTGGTTCCCACCAGAGCTTTGGGAAAAGGTATACAATGCAGTTGGAGTGAACTATGGGTGAATGGGGCTCTCTCATCTAGGAGAATAGAGCTGCAGGGATCAGAGTGCAGATCACACCTTTTTCTCTTGATTAACACCTTGTAAAGATGAGTCAGCTCTTGGCTCATGTGGTTTTCCCAGAAGATATTGATAGAATTCTTTCTTTTCCATTAGCTTCATAGATTTTCCCACAAGCAATCAGACTTCCTGTAATTTTTATTAAGAATTCCAGACACCCCAGCAATAATTTCCAGACACCACAACCTCTGTTAATGTAAAGAGCCATTTTATAATTGGGTTCACTTCATTAGTCCCGATTCTCTGCACTTGGAATGGAAGCACCCCAGGCTTTTGAACCACAAGGCTCCTGGCCTCCAGAAGAGTGTGCTTCAGGATGAGGGGTCTCTTGGGCAGCCCCAAGTGCCAGGAGGCCTTGTGTCCCATCTGTTCTATTACTGCAGCACAGGACTGCATATTAGAATGGGTAGGATGGCTAGTTCTATTTCAGATGAAACAAAAATTAGAGATTTCATCTGTATGTTGATTTGAGGCCCTAAACAAATGTTGGACATTGCCATCTACAAGTTTTAGGTTTTTTTGAGAGACTCATCTGCAGAATGGGGAATGTGTTTTGAGATTTGCTGTTTCTCTTCTTACATGTACATTAGGTTATATTCATTTGCAGTCAACGAACCAACAAAACAGTCTGATGTTATTTTCTCACTATTCTCCTGGGAAGGATTTTAGCCAGATAGTTTCTGAATGTCAGGAAGCCTTTCCAGGTACAGGATTGTACCTGGAAACCAAGCCAGGTACAGGCTTGAGGAGAACTGACTATGCACCACCCATAGCAAAATCAGTTTCTCCTTTTTAGCTTACATTTGATATTTACTCTAGCTCAAATTTTAAAGATGAATGAGGTAATATTTGGGTAAAGTGATGACTGTCTTAAATATATGCAGACCTTAACTGGAGCACCTGCCATGTGCCAAACATTATGCAAGAGACTGGAACGGTCAGAGGATGAGTGAGAGGGTTCCTTTCCCACAGAGAGCCCGTTCTGATGGGGGAGCGTCTAGAATAAGGCAGATGAAGGAAAGACAACCAGCTAGGGTTGAGAAGCAGGCAGAAGAGTAAGTGCAGCATTTTCATGCGCTAGGGTGAAAGTAATAATGGAAAAATTCTCAGGGTTTTATGGGTACATGATATGGAAAGGCGGGCACAACAGGAGAGACATGTTATAGGAGAAGATCGTGAGGCTGAGCTCATAGCTTGGGAGAGATGAGAAGGAGTAGTGCCCTGCACAGCTTGCATTCGTTGAGTAAAGGTCTCAGTGGGAGAAAAAAGCTGCAGGGGGCTTATTGTTGCTGTCATGAGCTCTTGAGAGGCAATGAGTGGAGGAAGGAAGTGCTGGGTAAGTAGGTAGGGGCCAGACCCCAGGGAGACCTGATGGATAGACCCATAGATTCTATCTTACACATGAAAGTGAGAGAGAGCTTCCCTGATGGCTTGGCTCAGTTGGTAAAGAATCTGCCTGCAATGCAGGAGACCCGTTTGACTCCTGGATCGGGAAGATCCGCTGGAGAAAGGACACGCTACCCTCTCCAGTTTTCCTTGGGCTTCACTTGTCGCTCAGATGGTAAAGAATCCGCCTGCAATGCAGGAGACCTGAGTTCGATCCCTGAGTTGGGAAGATCCCTTGGAGAAGGGAAAGGCTACCCACTCCAGTATTCTGGCCTGGAGAATTCCATGGGCTATGCAGTCCATGGGGTCGCAAAAAGTTGGAGACAACTGAGAGACTTTAACTTTCTGCACATAGAAGAGGTCTTTAGTGGATTTTACAAAGGGAAGCAACAGAGTCAGAGTTACCTTTGACTTTGAATAATCTGAAGGATAACTTTGTTGGGGCCAAGCTTTGAGGCAGGAAGAACAGATAGGACCATTGTGGAAATCTGCTATATTAAATCTACATGAATGGTAAGGTGGGGAAGCAGAGTTGAATCTGAATGATTTCTGGAGAAAAATGTAGTGATTACTTCGGTCAACAAGTTGGAGAGGAAAGAGAGAAAGGGATCTAGAGATGGTTCTTTAACTCGAGAGTTGGATGGGTGGTTGGTGGTGCCACCAATTGAGAGAGAAGTGCAGGAAGAGCAGCACTAAGGGAAGGAGCCACCACGCTGGACTGGGTGAGTCTGGGGCACCTGTGTGATGTCCAGGCAGAGACACACACTTGAACCCTGGGGTCTACCACTGAGGCGAGAGGCCAAGGCTGGAGCACACATCTGGAGGTCAATAGCATCCAGGTGGTTGATGAATCACGTTGGAGGAGAAAGAGCTAAAGCAGACAAGGAGCACTGGGGACAGAAACTTGCTGCTTCCAGGGTGAGTACAGGACGAGGATCCTATGAAAGGGAGGAAATCCGGGAGTGTGGAGCCTGGAAACAGGGATTACAGTGTCAGGGAGGAGGGGGCAGTAGGCTAATACAACCAGGAAAAGAGGGTACATTCTATTTGGTTTGGCAATTAGGAGGCCACTGACTACTGTAAAGAAAGGAGTTCTGGTGGCATTTTGGTGGGCAAGGGCACATGATAGAGGCAGGTTCTGGTAGAGTGAAATGTGAGTGAGCAACGAGGAACCAAGATGGCAGCTAAACAATGAATGGAGGACATTGGGTGGGAAGGTCACTTCATCTCTGCATCCCAGGGAGGAGGCAGAGAGTTTAGGGTACTTTTGTAGGATCTGCACTCAATTCAGTTTCTGTAACTTCCCCTTATTCCTCCTTTTCTGTTTCCTCCTTTCTTTATCCCTCTTCCCTTCATCCTAGCCATCCCTCCATAACTGCATGGTATGACCTTGGCTGTCACAGAACTTATATTCTGGCAGGAAGATAGGCTTTAAATAATCAAAGGCCTTGACTGATATCTTGATTACTTATAGTCAACCTCACAAATAATTGATTATCACTTTGGTAAGTTCTACACAAGAAAAGTAGAGGGTTTGGAGGGGGCATATGCATGGAGTTTTACCTTCTTTTGAGTATTACTTTCTACCCACAAACCAAGAAGTGAAGGAGTGTACATTAGAAGGCACTGAATATATTAGTTGACTATAAAATATTATTTGTTTGGTCTCATCATGAGTTTGAATTTCCAACCAAAGACCAGTTTTGCCTTTAATGGAAAAAGTCAAACTCTCTGAGTCCGTTTTGACCCCTTCAGTCCATATTAAACAGGGACATAATAAAGGTAATTAATGCAGTGTTGACTGTGTCTGACATTTTTCCAAGAGACAAGATGAAAAGAGACGATATATATCTCAAAGGATAGGAAATCTCGGTTTATCTTTCACAGCATAATGAAATATACTTTTATCATTAGAATCAAGTAGAATCTTATTAAGACTTGCTGTGCAAGGTAACTCCAGAAGAAAATGTCTGTTGCCCTTGACTATCACATGCATATTTGCTTTCTGTAATGTAAGGAAAACGTTTAATTGCTGGTGTTAAATTCTCTGAAGTTAATTTCACATCACCTTGACGTTAAGCTAACAAGCAGACAGGATCATTCTTGGTTTGTAAACTCTGATGTCTGGATCGTTTAATAGTATCATTTTCAAGAATGTAAGCAGCAGAGAATTTTAAAGAAAATAACAGTGAAGGCTCAGGACTATGAAATAACTCGTTGGAAGAAAGGATTTTTTTTTTCTTCTCCCCTTTCACTGCTCTGGCAAAAGTGGGTTACATTTTCTCTCTTCAGAGAGAGAGAGATCAGTATGGGTTTTATGCCAGAGGCCATTTTAATACATGAATGATTTGTAGGTAAATTTATTGTAGCCAATGGATTCAGTCAACTGTGTAATAGAAATATTGTCAAAAAGCTGGGATTATTATTTAAATAAGTACAGTGTTAAATTTGATTACATACTTTTTAAAGCTAATAAAACATTTCATTGCTCTCAAACTATTTCCCATAGTCCTATTTAGTCAGAAAACATAAATTAAGTGAGGCTCTGCATAGAAAATTACCCAGGCTTTGTGTCGATGGAAGCATGCACGGAAAAGCTTGGCGGCCTCACAATTTAAAGACGAAGAGATGTAAAAGGGGTTGGCAGGCTCCTGTATAGGCTGGTGGGGACACTTTTCTCCTTGAAGAATTATGGAAGATGACTGCCTAGGAGGATGCATGCTTGAGATGGCCTTGGGGGTGTGGAATTGTCGGGAGCCTAGGGTGCGTCAGAGGGAGGCCCCTCTTGCTCTATCTCAGGTAGAGAAAAGACACCCAGGTTGACAAAATTCTGTCCACTTGGACATAGGGTCTCCAGAAACATGAGCCACTTGCTTTTTAAAAATTATAATTGTTTTTGTTTTAAATAAATCAAAGTGAGGTCTTTGGATGCTAACATGGGTCTGTGACATTTTAAATTGTGCTATTTGCTGAGCTTATCCTGTGACAGGTCTTCATTTCCACCAAATGTCAAGGATCAGTGCCTTGCATTCATTTTAATGAAATATTGTGCTGATAAGGGTTATGAATGCCAAGTTTAAGCTGTAAATTACTAAATGTCGGGCTGCTTTCTGCTTTGTGAATTCACCAGGGAGCAAGCTAATGAAGCTTTCTTTCTCACTTCTTCTTACAGTTAGGGATTCATGGCTATGCCTTTGCAATCACAAATAATGGATATATCCTGACGCATCCAGAACTCAGACCACTGGTAAGAAAAATGCGTATTTCTGTGTTTCTCCTTTTATGATTTTAAAAGGTTTTCTTCAGTTCTACAGTGGTAACACTGCAGCTTTCACTTGAAATGCTCAATTCATAATACTGTCTGTGAAAAGCTGTTTTAATAGTTTATAACTAACATTTTGACATATAATATGCAAATAATATAGGGTAAATATATTTGCTATCATGCTTTTATATATAAATCCCTGTATGTCTTACACTTATTTATTTCATATTTGCCAATATATGTAAAAAGTTAAACTCTTTTCAGCTTGAAATATACAACATAATAGGTAGCTTTATGAAATAAATGATCTCTCACCCTCCAGTCTGAGACCAACTTAAAAAAAAAATTATTTCTCCACTTATTTATTTATATTGGAACTTGGTAGGTCTTCATTGCTGTGTACGAGCTTTCTCTGGTTGTAGTGCATGGGCTTCTCATTCCTGTGGCTTCTCTTGTGGAGCATGGGCTCCAGAGTGCATGGGCTTCAGTAGTTGCTGCCGATGGGCTTAGTTGCCCCATGACGTGTGGAATCTTCCCAGACCAGGGGTCGAACCTGTGTCCCCTGCATTGGCAGGCGGATTCTTAACCATTGGACCACCAGGGAAGTCCTGAGACCAACTTATTGAAAGTTACAGTTGATACAACAAATAAGTCAAGATCCCTGGAAATCCATTATGATGGAATTTGAACATTACCCAAGCCCGGTGCCTGCTGGCTTGAAGGTACTCAATAATACCTTTTGTGTTTCGTTGAAACAGTTGAGATTTTCCCCCTTGTCCTGCCTAAGCTGTATCCAGTAGCATTGTTTGGTGAGCTGACATGTAAACCATTTTCTTTCAGCATTGTTTTAACTCTCTTTGAAGTAAGTGAAGTTAGGCCTAGTCCAAGACAGTCCAGAATATCATGGTCCATTCCGATCCCTGGGGAGAGGCTGCCTGGAGCACTGTGTTTAGGAGGATTCTGAAGGGCAGCCAGGTTTGGTCCACTGTGCATTCTGGAGGGACATAGCAGAGAGGGCACCACAGGTTTGCGCTCCCTGATCTAGTTGCAATGTGTTGACAAAAAGACATCCCTTTTGGTCTGTGGTTAGCCAATTTTAAAGAAGATATAAAAGTATAAAGAATAATATAGCAAACTCTGCTTTTGAATGTTAAGAAACTGTAATTCATTTCCTATAGCTGTACACACACACATACACACTCATACATACCCATCCACTCCACATGTCTTTTTTCCTTTCATCAAAATTAGAAAATATCAGCAGTGCCTGCTATACAAACATTTATTTCTGAAACGTCATGTAGATCAGTTTGCTTCTCACTTGAATCATTGTTTAGAAGAAGTTCATGTTTTAGCTCCATCACCATCCAACTTTGCTCTAATCGCCCTGGTATTAATGGAGTCATGGCCACATCATGTGGATCCCATATGAATGCTTCAGGATGCAACTTTAGGTAATACTTGACTTCAACAAGCTTTTTATCACAAAAGGATTGAATTAGCTGGTTAGCTAATTCAGAATCACTGAAAAGTCCGATTGAAAAACCTACCTAACTTTTTAAGGATATTTAAGTCTAAAAATGTATTTAAGCTTTAAAAGCTTAGCACAGTACCCATTTCTAAGTCTTCCAATTGGGGTTGCTTGTTGAGGGTGGTGGGAGATGTATGTTTGATGTGGCTGACAGTAGGCTCCTAGTGCTTATTTATTCCAAGTTGAAGTGGATCAGAGTAAATGAAGCAATCAAACCTGGATCTTCTGCCAGTGAATGAATTAACTTTCCTATTTATCAGCTTTTAAAGAAGGAACAAAATGGAACCAGATGTCAGAAGTCACCAGGGTACCTTCCCTTTCTCTATAATGTGGAAGTGAGCAGCTCCCATCTGCGCAGTCATTTCAGAGACTTCCTGGTCTTTCACATCTCCTGGTCATGCAGCAAATGGCCTGGTTGCAAATAATCCATTTCATGGACTTCAGAACTGTAGCCACTGAGAGGGCAGATGAAAGGCTGTTAGAAGAACAGGCAACCAGTCAACCCTGGTCATCTCCCGACAGTGAAAATACTCACAAAACCAAGTTGTTTCTGTTCTTCTCGCTGCTGAAACATTGCAGTGAATGATTTCACTGGAAATGGCAGCTAGGGTCAAATTCCCATAAATGTGGTGGCCCAAGCAAATGCTGCACATCTTACTTGTGAGGACCCAAACCAGATGAAGCTTTTTGAAGTTGATCCACAATAAGAACATCAGGAATGATCAGGTCAATGGACCATCTATCCCATTTTTCCCGTCTGTGACCCTGAGGCCATGACATATTTAGAAGAGGTTTGGCGTGATGCCCATTGTTGAGGATTCTGTGAACTAACCCATCTGTGTAATCAATAGTGGGTATTAACCCTCCCTTGAGTTTTGTATTTTCCTGCTGGGAAAAAGACAGCCGTCAAGTGTAAGGAATTCAACTTCAGCAGTACACAGGTTATCCTTGATTCCTAGTCCCATCATAAACCAGCTGTGTGACTTTGGGCAAGTCACACAGCCTTTCTGAGCATCATTTTCTCTTATAATCTTGTCATAACCAAGGAGTATAATATTACAGGATGTCAGTGTAAATGGGATAATGCAAGTAAAGAGCCTTGTGTGGCAAATCAAGCCCCAGGACATTGTGGGGACAGTGGTAGTTCTGTGGCCATTCTGTTTGTGTTTTATTGACTGCTATAACTTGGTGATGGTGGATGCTTGCGGGGGAGGGGGTGGATTTAAAGACCATTTTTTAATTATTCAACTTGTTCAGGTTATTATGATAAACATTGGTGAGGGACTGTATCCACACACACACGAGTAAACAGCCAGAGTCCTTGGGATCATGCAATCTGCATGCAGTTCTACTTTCAATCTGACATCAACTTGGTCTGTGCAACCTCAGCTGCGCCTGTCTGTGCCTGTCTGTCTCTCCCCCTTGCTCCGTCTCTCTCTCTCTGTCTGTCTGTCTCTCACACGTTCACACCCTTACTTTTCTTGGCCAGCTCTGAGCTAGAAGAAAAGCAAACAGTAGTTGTACTGGGAAGTTCTGGGTGAGCCCAGGAAACCGAAGTGTTTTGTTACTGTTGTCTGTTTGTTTTTAAAGTAGCACTGAGGATATACTAGCAGCTGCAGTAACTAAAGTATGACAGTTAAGAATCAATCCACGTAGGGGGAATAACCCAGCTCTGGTGCCTACAAGTAGTTTGTTTGTCTCTGTCTTGTTCACCTGAACAACAAAAGCAGAAAACTTAATCCCTCCTTCTCCCTCACCACCAGTCACTCAGCATAGAGGAGGGACTTTGAAGGAGAATGAATGAAAGAATCCTCCAAAGCCACTGTTTCATTTCCGGTTACTTTGGGTCCTTCCCGGTTACTTTTGGGTCCTTCTGGGGCACTTGCCCCAGATAACTGGTGTCTGCACCAGACGTAAATGGACCCAGTCAGAGTCTCACCCCAGCTGGGGACAGCCACTACCAGCAGCTTCCGTGGCCAGCTATAGAAGGAAATCCTCACTCCAGCCTGACAGGCCTTCTCCAAGCCCAGCCATACAGTCAAATCCTTGTTACAAATGGATGTTCCCCTCGGTTCTGGCCGAGGCTGCTAGATTAGCACAGTGGGTGTGAGTGGGAGATTGTGACCAGCATGGAGGACGGAGCCGACTCACTTAAAATAACTCCTATTCCCTCTCCATCTGCCACTGAGGTTGTTTCTGCCCCTGCAGCCAGAGGAAAGAAGTGGGTTTCCTGAAGCACAATACCAATATTTTTCTAATTTGTCCAATAAAATTTTCCCCCCAAACTTAATATTTGGCTTGATTTATCCAGTATTTTCTTTCATCTTGTATGATTTGGGTGTGAATCATGAAGTGTCTCCAAAAACAGCTCAGATGTAGGAGCCTAATTCAGCAGACTGGCTTTGGTTTAATTGGCAAAGCTGCTCAAGCAGGACTTTTCTGTTGATAACTGGGCTCTCTGTAGTCTTTCTCTAAGTGTTTCTCAGTCACTCTGTCCTTGCCACCTGCTTGTGACTTCTGGTAGACTAACTGATGCTGATTCAACAAACATTTATGTGGCTCCCAGCGTGCTGGGATCCATATGTTAGAATGGGGGTTGAAGGAGCACGTGGGCTGCGGCCATCTCATGGGTGGGGACTCGGACAACAGCGAAGCAAGAAGGATTCAAGTCAGACCTTGAGGCATGATTTTTTAGTTGTTATTACACATCTGGAAGTTTTTTCCTTGGTCTCTGCCCCTCTTTAACATTCAGGTTAAAACTATTTCAAAGCGTAGTTACTTAGAATTACTGTCTAGATCAATTTTTCTTGCACTTTATTCTTCCCATAAAGCTCTTTGAGAGCTTTACGAATTTTTCTTAAAATGTGGAACCCCTAATATATCTTTTTTTCTTTTTCCCGACAGAGTATTGAGGGAAATAAAACTATGAAGGGACCACCTTTCGCATGATCTGATTTTCTTTTGAGATTTTGGTAATCCATGTGCCCCTCCGTTTTAGAAAAAGGGGCATCTAAGTTGATTGCCTTCCCCATGGAGGCCTGGAATGTGGACCTCGTCAAACCACCGAGAGAACACAAAAAAGGCTTCCTTCCAGCAGCCACAGCACAGGCAAGGCTCCACAGAGGAGCCTGGGGCAGGCAAAATCTAGGACTTGTTTCCATGAAACCACGATGACATTTGCCAAAAGCTCTTTGCTCTGTGTCTGCAAGCCCAGAAGATGGGGAAGGATGCTGAAGAGTTTCTATTCTGGATAAAAATTAGCCAGTCACATGGGCCACTGGGTGTAATGGTAGATGAGATGGAGAAAAATCTCAGTTCCTTCCCTCAATATTTGCTAGATGGCGACTACGTTCTAGGGCTAAGCAAGCTGCCCAGAGCGGCTGCAGAGAATTGCTCCAACACAGAGGGCTCAAAATCGAATAGGGTGGATAAGATTTTATATGTAGGGTGG